GCTTTTAAGAATGCTGGAACTGGAAGTGGCGCTGTAGCTCAAGTGGTAGAGCGCTCACCTTGAGCTGAAGAGCTGAGGGTCAGCGCCCGGGCCCAGAGTTCAAGCCCCACAACCGACCAAAAAAAAAAAAAAATGCTGGAACTAAAGGCATGTACCACTACAGCCCGTGGATCTCTTAGTCTTGGTTTATAATGGTGTTCTTGCTTGAAGAGTATCCCAACTTTTCTTAGCCTGCTGCCAATATAATGCCCTCTTTGTACCATGAGACAGCACTTTCTTAACAATAAGTGTATAATTTTTTTATTTTTTTTGGGGGGGGTCCAGTCATGGGGCCTGAACTCTGGGCCTAGGCGCTGTCTCTCAGCTCTTCAACTTAAGACTAGCACTCTACCACTTGAGCCACAGTGCCACTTCCGGCTTTTTTCTTTTTGCTTATATGGTGCTGAGGAATCGAACCCAAGGCCTTGAGAATGCAAGGCAAGCGCTCTACCACTGAGCCACCTTCTCAGCCCTAAGTGTATAATTTTTTGCATGTTTGTAGTTAACTTTTTTGTCTGCTCATATAAGATTGTTTTATGGAATTTTAAGTGTAACAACGGTTGGTGGGAACTGACCTCAGGACCTCTTGAATAGGCAGTGGTATATATTCTGTTAATGAGCTGGACACCCAGCTTTCTCTTTCCTCTTACAATTTTTTTTTTGTTTATTTTTATTTTGTTTTATTTTTTGTCAGTTGTGCGGTTAAACTCTGGGTCTGGGCACTGTCCCTCAGCTCTTCAGCTCAAGGCTAGCATTCTACCACTTGAGCCACAGTGCCACTTTCATCTTTTTCTGTTTATGTGGTGCTGAGCAATCAAATCCAGAGCCTCATGAATGTGAAGCAAACAGCACTGTACCACTGAGCCACCATCCTAGCCCTCTTTTCTAATTCATTGCTTTTTTTTCTTCATTCTTATGTGTAGGTTCAGTGGTCCCCTCATAATGAGACTATATTGGCTTCTAGTGGTACTGATCGCAGACTGAATGTTTGGGATTTAAGGTAAGTCTTGGGTCTGTTCTCCATGGTAATGTTGCTTTCTATGAAGTTATTTATTTTTTTGGTCGGTGATGGGGCTTGAACTTTGGGCCTAGGCACTGTCTCTGAGCTCTTCAACTGAAGGCTAGTGTTCTACCATTTGAGCCACAGTGCCACTTCTGGCCTTTTCTGTTTATGTGGTGCTGAGGAATCGAACCCAGGGCTTCATGCATGCTAGGCAAGCACTCTACCACTGAACCACCTTCCAACCCTCCCCCACTCTTTAATTTCTTAAAATTTCTTTGAACTTAGTAAAATTGGAGAAGAACAATCCCCAGAAGATGCAGAGGATGGCCCACCAGAGTTGCTGGTATGTAATAAGCACTGAGACATATTGAATAGTCACTAATCTTTTTTCACAATTTGTAATTTCTGTCTACATTTTATATATTTTTGTTCCTCTTTAGTTTATTCATGGTGGTCACACTGCCAAGATATCTGATTTCTCCTGGAATCCCAATGAACCTTGGGTGATTTGTTCTGTATCAGAAGATAATATCATGCAGGTGTGGCAAATGGTAAGTGTTTTCAACTGGTGTGTGTGTGTACGTGTACATGTACGCAAGCAAGCACGCATGCCATTATACCAGTACTGGAGCTTAAACTTGACCTCATGGTCTCACTTGTTTTTTTTTTTTCTTTTTCCCCTCCTTTGTATTCAGTGCATTACTTTTTAGAATTTTATTGTGAAGGTGATATACAGAGGGTTACAGTTATATAAGTCATGTAATGAGCACATTTCTTTTCTTTTTTCTTCAGTCCTGGGTCTTGAACTCAGGGTTTGGGCACTGTCCCTGAGCTTCTTTTTTTTTGGGGGGGGGAGTTGGTTGTGGGGCTTGAACTCTGGGCCTGGGCACTGATCCCTCAGCTCTTCAGCTCAAGGCGAGCGCTTACTTGAGCCACAGTGCCACTTCCTGTTTTCTAGTGGTTTTATTGGAGATATTCCTGCCCTGGCTGGCTTTGAACCTAGATCCTCAGATCTCAGCCTCCTGAGTAGCTAGGATTACAGGCGTGAGCCACAGTGCCATTTCTGGCTTTTGCGGTTTATGTGGTACTGAGGAATGGAACCCAGAGCTTCATGCAAGGAAGAATATCAAAACATAACATAAAGCCAGGCACAAACCTATAATCCTAGCTATTTAGGAGTCTGAGATGTGATTACCACCAAAAAGCTGGAAGTGGAGCTGTGATTCAAGCAGCAGTTAAGTCAATAACTCCGCTTTCAGCCTTTTGGTGTTTTAATTGGAGATTAGATTCTCATGGACTTTCCTGCCTGGAATACTTTGAACTGAGTTCCTTAGATCCCAGCCACCTGAATAACTAGGATTATAGGTGTGAGTCACTGGCACCCAGCATATAAACTGTTATTATTGTTTTTTCCCTAAACAATATAGTATAGCTACTATTTTTTTTTTTTTTTTTGGTCTGGTCGTGGGGCCTGAACTCTAGGCTTGGGCACTGTCCCTCAGCTCTTCAGCTCAAGGCTAGTGCTCTACCACTTGAGCCACAGCGCCACTTCCGGCTTTTTTTTCCTTTTTGCATATGTGGTGCTGAGGAATCGAACACAGGGCCTCAGGCATGCAAGGCAAGCACTCTACCACTGAGCTACCTTCCCAACCCAGTATAGCTACTATTTACATAGGATTTCTATTATATTAGATACTGTCAGTAATGGAGAGATGGTTGAAGATATACATCTGGCTTTAAACCACCATCCTCCCGGTCTCAACCTTCTGAGTACCCATAGAATTACAGGCATGGGCCATCATTGTTGGGTTTGTAGTTGGTGTTGTAATGGGAAAGTGAATTGGGCAGCCTTGATAAACTGTCAGTTAAAAGGAAGCTGGTTGTGGCTGGCTCATGCCTGTAATCCTACCTACTCAGGAGGCTGAGATCTGAGGATCACAGTTTACAGGCAGCCCGGGCAGGAAAGTCAGTGAGACTCATCTCCATTTAACTAACATTGAGATTTGGAACATTGGGTTTGAGGAAGATTTTCATTTAAAATTACAATTCAGTGTTTTTTGTTAGTTGTGCTCATATTACCACAATTTTAAAATAATTTTCATTGTTTCAAAAAGAAACCCTGGGGGCTGGGAAGGTGGCTCAGTGGTAGAGTGCTTGCCTTGCATGCATGAGGCCCTGGGTTTGATTCCTCCGCACCACATAAGCAGAAAAGGCCATAAGTGGCGCTGTGGCTCAAGTGGTAGAGTGCCAGCCTTGAGCTGAATTGCTGAGGGACAGCACCCAGGCCCAGAGTTCAGGCCAGTGACGGACAAAAAAAAAAAGGAAACCCTGTTCCCCATAAACACCTGCTTTGCTTTCTTTTGTTTCCTTTTTGTTGTTGTTTAGTCATAGGGCTTGAACTCTGGTCCTGGGCACTGTCTCTCAGCTCTTTAGCTCAAGGCAAGCACTTTTTCTCTTCAGATACAGTGCCACTTCTGGTCTTCTGGTGGTTAATTGGAGATAAGATTCTTACAGACTTTCCCTTTGGAGCTGGCTTTGAACCACTGTCCTCAGATCTCAACTTCATGAGTAGCTAGGATTATAGGTGTGAGCCACTGGCACACCTGGCTTGTTAATAGCTTTTTTATTAGACAAATAATTATTTGATGGACAGGATTTTTCCCATCAGTTGATAGACACTGGACTTGCTTTTACTTTTTTAGCTATGATTGGTAATACTTCATCAAAAAACTTGAGAATATTGGTTACCGGGCTGGGAAGGTGGCTCAGTGGTAGAGCGCTTGGCTTGCATGCCAGAGGCCCTGGGTTCGATTCCTCAGCACCACATAAGCAAAAAGAAAAGAGCCGGAAGTGGCGCTGTGGCTCAAGTGGTAGAGCGCTAGCCTTGAGCTGAAGAGCTGAGGGACAGCGCCCAGGCCCAGAGTTCAGGCCCCACGACTGGACCCAAAAAAAAAAAAAAAAGAGAATATTGGTTATGAAGACAGCAGCTAAACCTAAAGCTTGCACCTCTGACTGACCAGCTACCTATTTTCTGTGTAGTATACCATTATCATTCATGATTCATGTCTCATAAACATTTCCTGTTTACTAAATATATTGTTTCTTGTTTTTGGACAGGCAGAGAACATTTACAATGATGAAGACCCTGAAGGAAGTGTGGATCCAGAAGGACAGGGATCCTAGATATGTCTGCACTTGTGGTTTTAGACTCCCCTTTTTATTCTTTTCTACCCTGAGATTGATTTAACACTGGTTTTGAGACACAGACTTTGTTCAGCTATCCCTCTATAATAGTACCACCAACAATGCCATTAATCTAAACAGTGGGTATTTTCTAAATATTAACTGGGGGACTTAATTCAACAAAGCCACAGATATGTATTTAAATATTCTTCAGGAATTTTCTAGTAAAAACCCAGGTCTAAAGTAGCTCCAGAAAGGGATATGTTGTGTGTGATTATTTTTCTTCTTATGCGATATCCCCAGTTTTTCAGACTAAAGGCTAGAGTGAGTAAGGAATAGAGCCAAATGAGGTAGGTGTCTGAGCCATGAAGTATAAATACTGAAAGATGTCATTTTTATTCAGGAATAAGGGGAGATTCAAGTCATATAGATCCTAAAGACTTCACTTCACACCTGACTTTCCAGGATGCACATTTTCCTACATAGACCAGTTTTCTCTTGGTTTTCTTCAGTTAATTTGAAACTACATGTTCCTCCTTACCCATATATTTTTGCTCATTAGTTTATTTCTTGGGCTGTTTTCATATTATGCCTTTCCTTTCTGTGAAATGGTTTTTGTTGTGTTGTTTTGTTTTTTTTAACTTGGGACCACCAAGTTGTAAAGTTGTATGTTTTTACCTGGCAGTTGTACCACAGGTGGACTGTCAAGTTAAGAAGAGTGAATTGATAGCTTATATTTGTTCTTAAAATTAAATTAATCCTTGATAAAAGTTGCTTTTTTTTTTTTAGGAGTTAGTCCTTGATCACTAGTTTGATACCATCTCCATTTTGGGTGACCCGTTTCACCAGCAGGCCTGTTAATCTCCATGACTAACTGTGTAAGTGCTTATAATGGAATAAATTGCTTTTCTACATAACCCTATGCTATAATGGGTTTTATTTATCATATAACATTCATCAAACAACAGTCTCTGGCTTTTAGAAGAAAGAGTATTCTGATGACAAGTTGTTTTCAATGGTCTTTGTAGAAAAGGATCAAATATAATACACCCAAACCTATAGAAAAGAGTTTTTACAGTAGAAATAAAAGACAAACACTGAACTAGAAGTGAATGGACTAGTCTGATAAAATGACATCTTTTTTAAGTCCTTAGGTATTGTACAGGCTTTGAAGAATGTCAAAGGCAGAGTGGTAGAATTTAAGGCACATTTTAAATTTGGAAAAGGTTTGAGTATTTAACCATGACTTGTACTTAAAGTATTAATGTTTATCACCAAGTGCCATAAAATGCTAGGTCCTTAGCAATACAGTTTTGTTTCCTCTGAGTAGATCATGGGCCTAAAAAATAAACCTAAGATCTTTGGAAAAAAACTTAATAGTCTTAAGCCATTAAGTTCAAGTGTAAATTGTTCCTTTTCTTCAAATCTAGTTTTAGGATGTAGGTGAAAATTAACTCCAGGTTTTAGTTTGTTTTTGCTGGTACTGGAGCTTGAATTCAGAACCAAGCCTGTACTCTCACTGCTTGCTGGCAATATACCACTTAAGCCATAGCTCCACACAATTGTAAGAGTAAACTGAATCTTCATAGACTTTCAGGAAAAGTAAACTTTGAAAGAAGATCCATTGCAAACCTGATACTTATTATGGCACAAAAGAATTTAAGTTGTAAACCCTTACAATTTGGAAATTGGCTGTCTTTTCACCCCAGCTTTGTCCCCCAAAATAAATATTCCTGTGGTTTGGGTCAACATAAGGCAACATACATTCTTCATAATCTTGCAAAGGTATGTCCATACATTTGTCCATTACTCAGTGTGAAAGTAAAGGTGCTGCCAGAAAATAGAGTCTTATATTTTCATTCCTCAGTTTGTTGATAGCAGTACCAGCAGCCTGAGAGGTGGAATCCAGATAAAAGTTGAATGGTGTTCTGCTTCTAACCAGCACTAGAAATTGTTGAAGCAGGTCAAGTCAGTATTTGCAAATTTCACAGAGTGAATTGTTCTCCAAGTTCTGACTTTCTTGTCTGTTTCAGGGGAAAATATGTCCCAGGTACTTAGTGATCCTTTGCTAAGAAGTTGTTTCTAGGTTACAGATTTATCCACACATTTCTAAACAGCCCCTGTAAGGTTGAGGGAAAAAAAAGAATAAACTTGTACTTTCTGCAATTTCAACTACAGTAGAGAAAGTTTGTTAATGTGAAGGATGTCCAAGATTTTGTTAACAGTCTTTGGGTGAGATTGCTACAGTCATTCATATATGGAGATAACATTCCAGTAAAAAATAGGGAGCCTCCTGCTTGCAAAATGGAATAAATGGTAACCTGTGTGATGAGAGGGGGGGTAATTAAGATTTTTCTAAACTGACGTGGTGGCACATTTGTAATTCTACCACCTAGAAAGCTCAGGCAGGAGCCAGGCACCAGTGGCTCATGCCTGTAATCCTGGCTACTCAGGCTGAGATCTGAGGATCATGGTTCAAAGCCAGCCTGGGCACGAAAGTCCATGAGACTCTTTATCTCCAGTAAACCACCTAGAAAACTGGAAGTGGTACAGTGGCTCAAGTGGTAGAGCACTAGCCTTGAGGTGGAGAACTGAGGGACAGAGTTCAAGCCCCATGACCAAGCAAAAAATAAAAAGCTGAGACAGGGAGATAAGTTTAGGATCATCCTGGGTACACGTGGAGACTATATTAAAAAATGTGTGAGGGTGAAGGTTGGCTGTACCTCAAGTAGAACTGCCCAGGGAAGCATAAGGTCCAAGTTCAAATAGTACCCAATAGTACTCAATAAACAAAAAGCATATTCAGGCTGGAAAGGTGGTTCAGTGATAAAGAGTGCTTGCCTTGCATGCATGAGGCCCTGGGTTCAATTCCTCAGCACCATATAAGCAAAAAAGGCCAAAACTGGCACTGTGGCACAAGTGGTAGAGTGCTAGCCTTGAGCTGAAGAGCTGAGGAACAACGCCTGGACCCAGAGTTCAGCCAACAAAAAAAGTAATAAAAGTATTTAAATTTATTTTTCCACTGCCCAGGTTAACTGCCTGAGACTCTTCAAGGTGTTGGAACTGCCTTGTGCTTACAAAGGGGTTATTACACCTTCAGTGTTCAGCCTCTTGAGTAGTTCTGCTCTTTTGCTGATTATTTTAGAGGTGGAGACAGGCAAACTTTTTTGGTTTTGGGTTTTTTTTTTTGTTTGTTTGTTTGTTTTTGGTCATGGGGCTTGAACTCAGGTCTTTGGAGCTGTCCCTGATGTCTTTAGCTGAAGGCTAGCACTTGAACCACAACTCCATTTCTGATTTTCTGGTGGTTAATGGGGTCTCAGGAACTTTCCTGCCTGGGCTGGCTTTGAACCAGGATCCTCAGATCTTAGACTCCTAAATAGGATTACAGGCATGAGTCACCAGCACCTGGCTTGCAAACTTTTAATTGTTGTGTTTTTCTGTGGGCACACAGAAGTGTTTAGCAGATTGTCATCCTCTAATAAAGGATATAATCTCACAAACAGTAAAAAATAACTGCCTAAGCCAAGTGCTGGTGGCTCAATTCCTATAATCCTAGCTACTCACAAGGCTTGAGTTCTGAGGATCGAGGTTCAAAGCCTTCCCAGGCATGAAACCCCATGTGACTCATCTCCAGTTAACCACCAGAAGTGGCACTGACTCAGTGTGGTAGAGCATTAGTATTGAGTGAAAAAGCTTAGGAATGGCGCCCAGGCCCTGAGTCCAAGCCCCACAACTTGCAAAAATAACTACTTTTAAGCCTGGTTCCAGTGGCTTAAGCCTGTAATCCTAGCTGCTCAGGAGGCTGAAATCTGAAGATACTGAGCTTAGAAGCCAACCTGGGCACTCAATTCCCTGTGAGACTCATCTTCATTTAACCACTCAAAACCCAGCTTTGGACAGCTCAAGGTGGTAAATAGAGCTCTAAAACCTTGAGCAAACGCTCAGGGACAATGTCCAGACCCTGAGTTCAAGCCCCACAACCAACAGTAACAACAAAAAAATCCTACTCCTGTTAGAACTTTTATTTACTTTTTTTTTTTTTTCTTTCAGTCATGGGGTTTTAACTCTGGACCTGGGCACTGTCTTTGAGCTCTTGACCTAAACTAGCACTCTACCACTTGAGCCATAGCGCCACTTCTGGTTTTCTGGTGTTTCATTGGAGAGAAGAGTCTTCACAGACTATCCTGCCCAGGCTGGTTTTGAACCATGGTCCTCAGATCTCACTAAGGCTCCTGAGTAACTAGGATTACAGGCATGAGCCACTATACCCAGTTGGAAAGGATTGCTTTATGTCCCAATCTAGCCTCAAACTTGTGATCCTCCTACCTCAGCCTCCTGAGTGTTGAGATTACAGGCTTATACCACAATGTCTGGCAAATATAACACTTTATATATAGCATATGAGAGTATACTGGCAACCAGGCCTTCAGTTTTGCCTTAAAAGTAAGTCTGTGAAGTATGAATAGCTTTCTCCCTTCTTTCTAAAAGTCTTTGAGTATTTTGTAATATAATGAAATTAATGGTTGGCGTGTTAGATAATTCACATATTAAGCAATAAATCTGATAAGTAAAAGTCTGTCCTTAGGGGTTTTTATGGTTGCATAGTAATTTAGCCCTCTTGTTGGCCTCGTCACAGCCTGAATTTGATACCCACAGCTGCCTTCTGTATTCCAGCATATGGGTGCTCAGCGTAGATGCTTTATGTATTACAGAATTTCTGGTGGACATTAGGTATATTTTAAGGCCTACGAAAAATGAACTGAATGCTTGACCTAGGCATTTTGGAGGCATGAGTTAGATAATCCTAGGTGATTTGTCATTAAGATACTTTTTTGTGTATGTGTATGCCAGTCCTGGGGCTTGAATTTAGGACTTAAGCACTGTCGGCTTTTGTGCTCAAGGCTAGCCTGCTACCACTTGAGCCATAGCTCTACTGGCTTTTTGGTGCTTGATTAGAGATAAGATTCTCATAGAGGCTGGAAAGGTGGCTCAGTGGTAGAGTGCTTGCCTTGCATGCTTGAGGCCCTGGGTTCACCACATAAGCAAAAAGAAAAAAGCCAGAAGTGGCGCTGTGGCTCAAGTGGTAGAGCGCTAGCCATGAGCTGAAGAGCTGAGGGACAGCGCCCCGGCCCAGAGTTCAGGCCCCACTACCGGACCTTAAAAAAAAAATATTCATAAGCCGGGTGCCGGTGGCTCACACCTGTTATCCTAGCTACTCAGGGAGGCTGGGATCAGAGGATCACAGTTCAAAGCCAGCCCAGGCAGGAAAATCCGTGAGACTCTTATCTCCAATAAACCACTAGAAAACCAGAAATGCCGCTATGGCTCAAGTGGTAGAGCACTTGCCTTGAGCTGAAGAGCACAGGGACAGCGCCCAGGTGAGAGTTCAAGCCGCACGACCCACAAAAAGTATTCATGGGCTAGAGGTGGTAGCCCAATAGTAGAGTGTCTGCCTAGCAAGCACAAGGCCGAGTTTAAACCTTAGTACCACAAAATAAAATTTAAAGATACTAATTAACCAGTGCATAGCAGCATTAATTCTAGCTACTCAAAAGGCAGGCCAGCTTGAGTAGCATAAATTAGTAGTATTAAGAAAGCATTAAAAAAAAAAAAGCAGTAATAGGGCTGGGAAGGTGACTCAGTGGCACAGCGCATGCACAAGGCCCTGGGTTTGATTCCTCAGCACCATATAAGAAGCAGCCAGAAGTGGCGCTGTGGCTCAAGTGGTAGAGCTAACCTTAAGCCGAAGAGTTGAGGGACAGCACCCAGGCCCAGAGTTCAAGCCCCAGAACTAATAAGCAAAAAACAAAAGCAATGATGCAAACACCACTCTTCTACCCACAAAGATCACCTTGGGACTGTGTCTGGGTTCCGCCTGCCTGAGAAGTGGGAACATCAGCCTCTTCCAGGCTTTTGGGTAGCATAGCCCTTTAAAAAGAGAGAGCTGTTTTCTATCTGATCATGGATGAGCACAATTTGAAAGTAATTTCCCTAAATTTTTTTTACTGTCAAATGAAATTATCCCTGCTCCCTCCCCACTATACTCTCAGCCAGTATTAGGTGAGATTTGAGTAGCAGTGAAAACTGACTTATAAGTTGAGAGTTCTTCAGCAAGACTGATCCTTAGTTGCTCCATCTCTTTGTTCTTCTGTTGCTGGAGTTGTACTCCACTTCTTAATTGCCTTTGCCGCTCTTCCATTTCCTCCAGCTGTTCCTGCATAAGATGGCCAAAAACATTTCTAATGAGCCAAACAGTATTTTTAAAAATAACAAGTATTTGAGGCTGATACCATAAATGATAGGTTAGGAAACAAGTCCAGGAAGATGGTACTGACAAAGGAACAACTGTTTTTAAAAATGGTAACCTGAGAGGGCTGGGAAGTGGGCTCAGTGGTAGAGTGCTTGCCTTCCATGCATGAGGTCCTAGATTCAATTCCTCAGCACTATGTAAGCAGAAAAAGCTGGAGGGCTGGGAAGGTGGCTCCGTGGTAGAGCGCCTGCCTTGGGTTAAATTCCTCAGCACCACATAAGCAAAAAGAAAAAAAAGCCAGAAGTGGTGCTGTGGCTCAAGTGGTAGAGCGCTAGCTTTGAGCTGAAGAACTCAGGGACAGGGCCCAGGCCCAGAGTTCATGCCCCACAACTGGCCAAAAAAAAGTCTCAGACTTTCCTGCCCTGGCTGGGCCTCCTGAGTAGCTAGGATTAACAGTTGTGAGCCACCAGCACCCAGCTCCAAGGTTATTATTATTGCTAGTCATGGTGCCCGAACTCTAGGCCTGGGCACTGTCCCTCAGCTCTTCAGCTCAAGGCTAGTGCTTTACCACTTGAGCCACAGCACCACTTCCAGCTTTTTCTGCTTATGTGGTGCTGAGGAATTGAACCCAGGGCCTCATGCATGCAAGGCAAGCCCTCTACCACTGAGCCATCTTCCCAGCCCCCCAAGGTTTATTCTTAAAGGCGTGGGAGACTTCATAAATTATTTACAGGCCTTTGGGATTTAAAGATTATTTCAAAAGTAAAACCAGATTCAAGAACTTGTACAAGTAAAAAATAATTTCCATGCTGGACATCAACTGTGCATACTAGTTGAATGTTCTACCACTAGGTCACATCCCCAGCCTTATTCAGAAGTTCAAAGTTGAGGGCTAGGAAGGTGGCTCACTGGTAGAGTGCTTACCTTGCATGCATGAGGCCCTGGGCTCAATTCCTACTCACCACATATGCAGAAAAATCCAGAAGTGGGGCTGTGGCTCTAGTGGTAGAGCAATAGCCTTGAGCTGAAGAGCTGAGGGACAGTACCCAGGCCCAGAGTTCAGGCCCCATGACCAAAAAAAAGAAGTTCAGAGTTGGAATATGTGATGCCTGGGAGGCCATTGAGCCTTCAGAGAAACTGTTCATTTCCCATTCTGTCAAAAACATACTGGAGGGCTGGGAAGGTGGCTCAGTGGTAGAGCGTTTACCTTGCATGCTCGAGGCCCTGGGTTCGATTCCTCAGCACCACATAAGCAAAAAGGAAAAAAAAGCCGGAAGTGGCGCTGTGGCTCAAGTGGTAGAGCGCTAGCCTTGAGCTGAAGAGCTGAGGGACAGCGCCCAGGCCCAGAGTTCAGGCCCCACAACCGGACCAAAAAAAAAAACATACTGGAGATGTACTCTGTAATTGTCTGCCTGGGATTAATGCCTAGAAATGAGGTAAGGAAGATGTCAGTGAGCAGTCTCTGGCTTAGCTACTAGCTGGCTTGGATGCTTAATAAGAATGAGGAGAAAGGGTGTTGATGTGGGAATGTATATTGTAAAAAGGCAGTTGACTTCACTGTAGTTGTTTTGCCTTTTTTTTTGGGGGGGGGGTGTCAGTCGCGGGGCCTGAGCCACAGCACCACTTCTGGCTTTTTCTGCTTATGTGGTGCTGAGGAATCGAACCCAGGGGCCTCAGGCATGCAAGGCAAGCACTTTACCACTGAGCCAACTTCCCAGCCCTTCACCTTAGATTTTTTTTTAAGACTAAACATGAGTCCAGTTTGTATATGCTATTATTAGAAGACTCTAAATAATCAATTATCTGAGTCAGCCATGATACTGTGCTGTGAGACAACACTGCAATGTTTGATCCTCTTGCTGGATCTCAACTTCCATTATCATTGTCAAAAGGCTTTATTTTACTGCAGAGCTATGCTTAGGCACCACACAGGGACGCACCAAAGAGTCTCATCTGGAGAGAGGCATCTGCACACTGCTGCCATAGTTCCTAAGCCATGCTGCCTAACCTGTTTTGATAAGGCACAAAAGTACATGATTGGCCAAGTGCCATGGCTCATGCTCATAATCCTACTAGTCAAGAGGCTGAGATCTGAGAAAAGCAGTTGGAAGCCAGCCCAGGCAGGAAAGTCCATAAGACTCCTCATCTCCAATTAATCACCAAAAAGCTAGAAGTAGAGCTGCAGCTCAAGTGAGAGAGCACTAGCCTTGAGTACAAAAGCTCAAGATAGCACCCATGCTCTGTTCAAGCCCCTAGGACTAGCACACACACACACATACACAAAAGGTACATGATTAATGAAGCAGTCTGCACTGAGTGACCATCTGCCAAGCTGGAATGAAAGTGGCAGTAAAGAGTCTGCAGTCCTGCCTAGTGCACTACTAAATTGACCTTTCAAAAGTAGATTTACCCTCTCAAATCTTAATGCTTTCTTTTTTACTGGAATTTAGAACCCTAAGTTTGATCCCTGTGTCTAACTTGAACCTCCATTATTCTGCCATATCAATATTTCCTCTTCTTTGCCCCACTTTCAAAAGGGAAACCACATGTAGCTGGTGGACATTTTAAGTATGGCTAGTGTGAATTGGAATGCCTGCTAAAACACATACCAAAGCCAGGTGCTGGTAGCTCTCACCTGTAATCCTAGCTACTCAGGACACAGATCTGAGGATCCTGGTTTAAAGCCAGCCTGGGCAAGAAAGAAAGTCTGTGACATTTTGCCTTTTTTTTTTTTTGTCATGAGTTTTCTTGGGTACTGTCCCTGATCCTCTTTGCTCTCAGGGATAGCATTCTACCACTTGAGCCACAGCACCACTTCTGTTTTTTTGTTGGCCAGTCCTAAGGCTTGAACTCGGGGCCTGAGCACTGTCCCTGAGCTGCTTTTTTCTGCTCAAGGCTAGCACTCTACCACTTGAACCACAGAGCCACTTCCGGTCTTTTCTATTTATGTGGTACTGAGGAATCTAACCCAGGGCTTCACATATGCTAGGTAAGTACTCTACCACTAAGGTACATTCCCAGCCGACCACTTTTGTCTTTTGAGTAGTTAATTGGAGATAAGAGTCTCACAGGGACTTTTCTGCCCAGGCTGGCTTTAAATCGTGATCCTCAGATCTCAGCCTTCTGAGTAGCTAGGATTACAGGTGTGAGCCACCGGTGCCCAGTTTGTGACCCTTTTTTTTTTTTTTGGTCGCTTGTAGGGCTTGAACTCTGGGCCTGAGCGCTGTCCCTCAGTCTTCAGCTCAAAGCTAGTGCTCTACCACTTGAGCCACAGTGCCACTTCCGATTTTCTGGTGGTTTATTGGAGATAAGAGTCTCAGGGACTTTCCTGCCCGGGCTGGCTTTGAACTGTGATTCTCAGATCTCAGCCTCCTGAGTAGCTAGGATTACAGGCGTGAGCCACCAGCGCCAGGCTTTTGTGACACCCTTTAGGTAGATCCTGAAAACTGGAGGTGGCACTGTGGCTCAAAGTGATAAAGCAAAAGAGCACAGGGACAGTGCCCAGACCCCGAATTCAAGCTGCACATCTGACATACACACACACCAAAAACACACACACCACAACACAAAACACATAGCTAAAAGCCACAAGTGACTAGGTGCCAGTGGCTTATGCCTGTAATCCTACTCAGGAGGCTGAGGATCATGATTCCAAGTCAGCTTGGGCAGAAAAAGTCCATGAGACTCTTAATTTCCAGTCAGCCACCACAAAAGCCAGAAGTGAAGATGTGGCTCATGGCAGAGCCACAAGGAAAATGCCCAGGCCCTGAGTTCAAGGTCCAAGGCCTGCACAAAAAAAGAAAATTAGGCAAATGACATAGGGGATTTGGGGCAAACACAATTTAGGAAGCCCTTTCAGAAGAATTAGGGCTATGTGCTGGTGACTTATACCTCTAATCCTAGCCACTCAGGAGACTGAGATCAGAAAATTGTAATTTGAGGCCAGCCTGGACAGAGAATTCCAGGAGAATCCATCTCCAAAATAAAAGACTTAGGAGCTGGGCGCTGGTGGCTCATGCCTGTAATCCTAACTACTCAGGAGGCTGAGATCTGAGGATCACCGCTCAAAGCCAGCCCGGGCAGGAAAATCTGTGAGACTCTTATCCCCAGAAAACTGGAAGCGGTGCTCTATCTCAAGTGGTAGAGCACTAGCCTTGAGCTGAAGAGCTAAGGGACAGTGTCCAGGCCCAGAGTTCAAGCTCATGACCAACAACAATAAAAAAAAAAATTAGGAGCTGTACATGGTGTCCCATCACTCCAGAGTCTGAGGCAGGATTATGAGTTTGAAGCCATTTTAGGCATATAGCAAGCAAGACCTTGTCACAGAAACCTTGGGAAGATACTCATTGTGGTGATTGCTGCCATTTTCAATATAGTAATCTGTGCAAGGACATAAGATAATTAAATTTATACAAAGGAATGCATATCTCAAATAGTGCTATAAAAAAGGCCACACTGAAGTCTCAGTGCCCAGCAGATTTAACTCAGCACTTACCTATGTGTTCTCTGATCCATGAGTGGTGGAGAGAATAGAGATAAATATCCCTGTCTTCTGAAAGCCCAGTCTGGAGGAGCAGACGTAATTGTTTATTCACTTAGTATTTATATCCTACTCTGGTCTAAAAAGGGATTAGAACTGGCTCACACTTAATCAGAAATAACTTGGATATAATGAAGATGGTGACATGCACAAAAAAAGGAGAGAATATTTATGGGCTTCAACCTAGTCTAAAGACTGGACAAGGGGCCGGGAAGGTGGCTCAGTGGTAGAGTGCTTGTCTCACATGCATGAAGCCCTGGGTTCAATTCCTCAGCACCACATAAGCAAAAAAAGCTGGAAGTGGTGCGGTAGCTCAAGTGGTAGAGTGCTAGCCTTAAGCTGAAGAGCTAAGGGACAGCACCCAGGCCCAGAGTTCAAGCCCCTTGACCAGCAAAAAAAAAAAAAAAAGAAAAAGACAACTTTAAATGAAGTGGAACTTAGATGACTGAGGCAGAAAAAAAGGAATGAATTTATTCCATCTGACCTCATTCCTTCCAGCTCCATATATCCACCGTTCAATTAGAATTAGAAAATGGAACTAGGTGCTGGTGGCTTATACCTATAATCCTACCTCAGAAGGCTGAGCTCTGAGGACTGTATCACAGTCCAAAGGCAGGCCTGGCAGGAAAGTCCATGAGACTCTTATCTCCAAGTAACCACCAAAAATCCAGAAGTGGAGCTGTGGCTCAAGTGGTAAAGCACTTGTAATCCTAGCTATTCAGAAAGCTGAGATCTATGGGCTGGGTATATGACTTAGTGGTAGAGTGCTTGCCTAGCACATGCATGAAGCCCTGGGTTTGATTCCTTAGTACCACATATAAACAGAAAAGGGCAGAAGTGGCACTGTGGCTTCCGTGGTAGAATGCTAGCCTTGAGCACAGACAGGCTCAGGAACAGTGCCCAGGCCCTGAATTCAGGCCCCAGGACTGGCAAAAAAAAGCTGAGATCTGAGGATTACAGTTCAAAGCTAGCCTGGGCAGACAAATTCAAAGGACTCATCTCCAATTAACCATTTTTAACAAGCCAGAAGTGGAGATACGGTTCTAGAGGGAGAGCACCAGCCTGGAGTGGAAAAGCTAAGCATGAATGAGGAGCCCTTAATTCAAACTCTAGTACCAGCACCAAAAGAAAAAGATGGAGAACCGGGCACTGGTGGCTCACGCCTGTAATCCTAGCTACTCAGGAGGCTGAGACCTGAGGATCTTGGTTCAAAGCCAGCCTGGACAGGAAAGTCCGTGAAACTCTTATCTCTAATAAACCACCAGAAAACCAGAAGTGGCTCTGTAGCTCAAGTGGTAGAGCACTAGCCTTGAGCTGAAGAGCTCAGGGTCAGTGCTCAGACCCAGAGTTCAAGCCCCAGGACTGACCAAAAAAAGAAAAAGATGGAGGCCAATATGTACTAGAGTAAAATGTTAAAAGATAGAAAATAAAGGGAGAGAGGGAAAGAAAAAGATTCTCCTAGGATTAATGAGACGATCAAATGAAATAGGTGATCCAAAAATGCTGAGTAAACAAAATGCTGACAATGAAATAAAGAATGGAGAAAAGGACAGGCTCCAAAGAACAAACTGTTCTTCCAACACAGGATAATATCCTCCAGCCCCAGAGATAAGAGATCCTAGCCACTCTTTCCCTCCCCTCATTAAGAGAAGGCACTTGATTGTACAGCCAAGGGGCCTACCCTGTACTGCTGGACCTCTTCATCTCGTTTCTGCCTCACAAGTGTGATCTGATTTTCGAGGTTCCTGTTTTGCAGGTGGAGCTGCCCAGCCTCTGCTTGCAAGGGCCTCAGAGCCTCCTTCATCTCTTGGATCTCTGCCTGGGTTTTCTGTAGAGCCTTGGTCCCTGCTTCTTTCCTCTCCAGGAGCCTCAGCAACTGTGGTTCATACTCCTCTTCCAGGCCCTGGCGGCTCTCTGCCAGGAGACTTTCAAACTGGGTAGACAACCGCCGGCTCTCCTGGAGAAAGTGCCCATCCCTCTGGCTTGAGGGTGCTTCCAGTTGTTGCCTCAACTGTTCCTTTTGCTTCTGATAGTCATCCTGGAGTTGGGACAGCTCTCCTGAGAGCTGGGCTGCCTTGGTAGTCAGTTCCTCCCGAAATTCTGCAAACTGAGCCACGTCATGTTGGCGACACTCCAGCTGGTACTGATAGGCCACACATTCCTTGGTCACTTTAAAGAGCTTCTGCTTGACCAGCCGGATTTCCTCCCTTAGCCCATCCCTCTCCAGCTCTGCCTGGGCATGCAGTTTGTAGGCGGCCAGGATGTCCTGGTGGACTTGCTGCACCTCCTGCAGGGCTGGTTCCCGGAGCAGCACAAGCTCATGGATGAGCTGGTCCCGCTCCTCTTCTAGCTGGGCCACGGCTTGCACACACTGCTGGAAACGGCCCTCCAGCCGTTCCAGGTCCTCTGCGCTCAGGCTCTCCTCTGTGCTGGGACTTGGCTCAGCTCCGAGACTTTCTTTAGGCTTAGATTTCTCCTCCCTTGTGACCATCTGTCCTTCGCAAATAATCTGCTTTGGGCTTGGGCTCTCAGCTGGCTCCACAGGCTCCCCCCCACATTGTCCCTCATCTGGCTCCACGTGCAATGTCTCATGGGGACTCACGGGCTCTTCCAAGTCCAGTGCCTCCTCAGTCTGCCCTGACTCCTCAATAAACAGGAGCTCCTCTGGCTTCTCAGTCTCTTCCACGTAAAGAGTGTCTTCTAAGTCCCCTCCCAGATAGAGAATGTCTTCTAGGCTCATGGACCCCTCCAAAGATAGAGTAGCTTCCGGGTTCAAGGTTGTAGCCTTACTCAAGGACCCAGAGTTTTCCTCTTGAAGAGAACTGGCCTCTGCTCTTGTTTCCCTGCAAGAAAAATGACTTAAAGTGAAAGTGCACCCCCAATGCCAGGAGATTTGTAATTTAGAACCATTGCAGGCCTCGATTATAGAATGTTCTCAGATCTCTGTGGTCACCCATCTGCTCCCTTCCTGGTATCATTCTACCTCCTACACACAGTCCATTGTTATAGTTCCTTTATCACGAACGTTCATAGCAGCATTGTATGGAACAGTCACAAACTGAAATGTCAGGTGAACAAATTGTGTCATAAAAGTAGAATGGAGCTAAGTGCTGATGGCTCATGCCAGTATCCTAACTACTCAGGAAGCCGAGATCTGAGGACCACTGTTGGAAGCCATCTAGGGTAGGAAAGTTTCTGACACTTTTATCTCCAATTAACCACCAAAAAGCTGGAAATGAAATTGTGGCTCAAAGTGGTAGAATGCTAACCTTGAGCAAAAAAGTTCAGGGACAGTACTCAGGCTCTAAGTTCAACACCCAGGACCAGAACCAAATATATATATATATATTTCTTAATCATTTACTGCAACCCATCTAACACCTCCAAAGTCCCTGATTTCCCTCCATGCATGTCAGAATATCCTCTGGAACCATAAAAGTGCCAGACCTTGGATACCACTAGCTTCATTCTACCCAACACCTGCATAAAAACTTTTTTTTTTTTTTTTTGTCATAGAGCTTGAACTCAGGACCTGGATGCTGTCCCTGAGCTTTTTTGCTCAAGGCTAGTGCTCTACCACTTTGAGCCACAGTACCAATTCCTTCCAGTTTTCTTTTTCTTTTTTGTCGGTCGTGGGGCTTGAACTCTGGGTCTGGGCGCTGTCCCTCAGCTCTTCAGCTCAAGGCGAGTGCTCTACCACTTGAGCTACAGCGCCACTTCCGGTTTTTTTCTTTTTGCTTATGTGGTGCTGAGGAATCAAACCCAGGGCCTCTGGCATGCAAGGCAAGCACTCTACCACTGAGCCACCTTCCCAGCCCTGCACCAAAAATCTTATACTAGGCCATCCATTTGAATGAATTTGCCAGAGAGGAGATGGTTTGCAGTTTTCTTCATCTGATAACATCCAAAATTATTGTTCTTCTGAAGCTTTCTGTATATTTATCATTCAGCTCAGAGAAACACATGCAAGTTGACCAGCAAGAAATCTTTAATTTGTGTGTGGGGGGGAGTGGGTACTAGGGTTTGAACTTGGCACTTCATATTTGCTAGTTAACTGGAGATAAGAGTCTCATGTACTTTTCTGTCAGAGCTGAGATCTCAGATCTCAGCTTCCTGAGTACAGGATTATAGGTGTGAATCACCAGTGCCTGGCTCAGGAAGAAATCTTGAGATGCCTCTTTCCCTACTCAATTCAGCCAACTCAGCTGAGAATATTTCTACCTTAGAAAGTCTCTGGTCTTCCTCCTCTCTTCTCCAACCCACTGCCAGGGCCCTACTCCAAGTCATTCTCTATTCCTACATCCTACTCCAGCCTTCCAATGGGCCTCCCGGCTCCTCCTTACTTGAGGCTGTTCTCTATAGTCCCACAGTTAGCTTGTACAACATAAGGCTGCTCCACTTCATGGGCTCAAAATCTTCAAGATGTGACCCCCAACTTCCCTTTTTTAGCCCAATTCACATTACTCCCACAACCCACCCAGTGCCCAACAACCCAGAACATGTGTTAACTTTTCACACCTCCCACTCTAAGCCCACAATATCTGAAGATCTGTCTTAGAAATACAGCTTCCCAAACGCCATCTGTCTAGTCAACAGCCCCACATTACCTGGGAAGGTATAGCTCTGAGGTCCAGGCAGATGCACCTGCTCAGTCAGCCAGGCACCTTGCGATGCAAGGTGATGTATTAGGTTGGGCACTTTTGCAGTTTCCAGAAACCACTTTTAACAAGCAGGAAGAGGGCTGGGAAGGTGGCTCAGTGGTAGAGCGCATGCCTTGCATGCCTGAGGCCCTGGGTTTGATTCCTCAGCACCATATAAGCAAAAAGAAAAAAGCCGGAAATGGCACTGTGGCTCAAGTGGTAGAGCGCTAGCCTTGAGCTGAAGAGCTGAGGGACAGCGCCCAGGCCCAGAGTTCAGGCCCCATGACTGGACCCCAAAAAAAAAAAACAAGCAGGAAGATAAACCCCTGGGGCTCATGGGGTGTTAGATATGAGGATAGTGTGCATGATTTTGAAGAAAAAAATCTTTATTGGGTACTTAGTGTTAAGTTAGAGCTTAGCATGTATCCTAGCCAAGAAGGACCTTCCCGCCATGCTCCTGTAGAATAGCACTTTGGAGTCACCATGGTCAAGGCACTACTCTAAGCATCTTACATGAATAACTTACTTGTAGAATTCTCTTTTTCTATCCCCAACTGTACAGATGGAAACCCAGAGCACAGAGTAAAGAACTCACTTAAAACCTGGGTGCTTGCTTGGCTTTGATGGCTCACACCTGTAATCCTAGCTACTTAGGAGGCTGAGATCTGAGGTTAGGAGGTTAGAAGCCAGCCTTCCCAGGAAAGTCCAGGAGTCTCTTATCTCCAATTAATCACAGAAAAACAAAAAAAAAAAAAACAGAAGTGGCATTGTGGCTCAAGTGATAGAGCACTAGCCTTGAGCAAAAAAGAGCTCAGGGACAGTGCCCAAGCCAAGTTTGAGTCCCAGGACCAGCCCCCCTCTCATGCCCCCCCCCCAAAAATCTGGGCAGTAGTGGTTCATGACTCAGAAGACTAGCTGAGTTTGTGGTTTGAAACTAGCCCAAGCAGCAAAGTCTGTGAGATTTTTTTTTTTTGTTGGTCATAGGGCCTGAACTCTGGGCCTGGGCACTGTCCCTCAGCTCTTCAGCTCAAGGCTAGCACTATTCCACTTGAGCCAATTAACCAGCAAAAAAGGAAGAGATGGAGTGAAAGAGTCAAATAAGTACAAGGCCCTGAGTTCAAGCCCTAGTACACACACACACACACACACACACACACACACACACACGAGAAATAATAGACACACAGTACTCAAAACATCTTTCTAAGGCTGGAAAGTGTGGCTCAGGGACACAGCACTTGCTCTGTGGGAGGCCCAGAGTTTGAGCTCTAGCACTGGAAACAAAACAACCTATTTACCTAACACATTTTTTTTGTCAGTTGTGGGGATTGAACTCTGGGCCTGGGCACTTTTTTGCTTAAGGCTAGCCCTGTATCACTTTGAGCCACAGCACCACTTCAGGTTTCCTGCTGTTAAATAGAAAATAAGAGTCTCTTGGAGGCTGGAAGGTGGCTCAGTGGTAGATCCCTGGTAGAGCCCTCGTGCATGAGGCCCAGGGTTTGATTCCTCAGTACCACATAAGCAGAAAAAGCTGGAAGTAGCGCTGTGGCTCAAGGGGTACAGTGCTAGCCTTGAGCTGAAGAGCTAAGGGACAGCGCCCAGGCCCCATGACTGACAAAAATAAAAATTAAAAAAAGAGTCCCATGGACTTTACTGCCTGAGCTGGCTTTGAGCCTTGATCCCCAGATCTGGGCCTCCTGAGTAGCTAGGATTACAGGCATGAGCCACCAACACCCAGTTACCTAGCAACTTCCTACTCCTTCTTCAAGCCCAGATCATACTCCATCTCTTCTGAGACACATTACCCAAGCAAGTACACCTATATCACCACACTGATTACAGCTCAGCTTCATTCCTGGTGCCTTGCACTACTGAAGTGCACACGTCCACCTGGTTGAATTCCTGAGGACAGCATAGTTCTGCTTTTGGGCTCCAGTGTGGGGTCCTAGGAAGACAGGCAGACACCCACAGAGTTCCCAGGAGGAAACTTGCCCAAGGTCAAGTGTTCTAGCAGGAAATAAAAGCCAGGCATCCCACCCCCCAGGCGTGGCCATCACCCCACCCTGGGTGCCGCCTGCTGCCCTTCCCAGGAGCTGGGAAGGCAGTAGATTGGGAGAGGCCCAGAGAAGAAGTGAGCTGAGGCTGACCTTAAGCTTCCGAGGGCCCCAGGCAGCCTGCCTCTGCCAATCTATCTCTAGAGAGCTCCAACAACTCCCTAACCCTGTCCACCAGAGCTGTGGCTGGGTGTGGCACCAAGCAGGCCTGATTCCTGCATGTGACAGGGTGCAGTTCCCCCTCCACCTCTTGGCACACTAGGAAGACCTATGGTCATAGTCTGACCTGGAGCAGAAATGCACCTCCATCACTCCTATCCTCTCAGCCACAGGTCACTTCCTCCAAACTAGTGGTAAACCCACAGTGATGAGATGGGGCTCCTGCCAAGCCCAGGCCCTCCCATTGAGCTGAGACAGTTGACCTTCCCTGCCCCCACCCTAAGCCACACCGGGGAGAACGGGAGAATGAGCCTTCTGAACAGACTCTTAACTTCAAGCAGGCACAAACCCAACCTTGCACCAAGAGGCTTCCAGCAGCCAAGTCACAACTAGCTCTCCGCTCGCCATTCCTAGTTGACATTTGGAGTAAGGACTACAAACGCTGTCGCTGGCCAGGTGGGACAGGGAGAATGGCCTGGAAAAGGCCCTTCATTAACCCCCGAAAGGGTTAATTCTCCCACAGCCTGGAGGAGGGGGAAGGGGATGATAAAAAAGCCACAATCAATAGGGGTGCCAGGACCCCAAGCCAGGGCTCCCCAGGTCCCTCCCCCGGTAGGCCCGCCCCGTGCCCCACCCAGGCTGGACCACTACTCCCAGCCCAGTAAAAGGGGTCACGGATGAAAGGAGAGAGCCAGTCCGGCACCCTCGTCCCCAAAGGACGCCCCGATAATCCTACCTCGGGGCCTGGGTGGTGCCGTCCCCGCCGGGCTCCGGGCTGGCCATGGCTGCGCGACCCGGGCTCCGGCGGGCGCGTTATTAATAGCCGGGCCCTCAGGCGGCTGCTCGGCGCCCGCCCCGCCGCCGCACTGCCAGCTGCAGCCGACACCGGATCCTGGCCTGGGCCGGCGCGCCCACTTGGCTCTGGGCGCAGGAGGGGGGCGGGGAGTGGCCGTCCCTCCCCCGCCAGGCGGGTGGGGGGGGTGCATGGGGGGGTTCCTGAAAGTGCGGGGGGGGGGCGGTGAGAGGGCGGTCTAGCCTGCCCAGAACTCTTCCAGAATCTTCCTTCTCCGGATCCTGGTTGGAAGGGAAGAAGAAGGGGGTACTGCAGACCCCGGGAACCCTTGTCCTGTCCGTGGGGAGGTGCAGAGTTTGAGGGAGGGATGCCCAGAGGGATCTAGCACCCCTTGCCCGCAAGGTCCCTCCGGATCCCCACCGCACTGGGGGTAGGAGCAAGTTGACACACTTGGTGGAGGGTTGGGGCAGGGCGCTGGGAGAGGGAGTGCTGGGGGGCCCCACTTGGGCCTCAGGAGACACTCAGGGCTTGGGGTTAGGGGAGGTTAGGGAGGATGCGCCCCCCCACTTCCCAGGGGCTTCAAGTGGAATCTATTTAACACAGCTCACTACCCCCACCCTGCCAGGTTTACAGGGGTCTCCTTCAGCTCCACCCCCACCCATCACCCCCACTCAGCTTCTGCCAACTTCACAGCAAGTCCACTCCCTCAACTCCTTGCCCCCACCCCAAAGTTTCTTCCCTCTCCAGACCTGGGCCTCACATTCTGCCTCATTTGATTCTTTCTTTCCCCTCAGTCCCTGTGTTGGGGGAGGAGGGCTTTGACTTAATCACAGAGGAAAAAAAAGGAAAAGCAAGAACACTAGGCACTTCACAGGCCAGGGGCTGCCACCTGGGTTTCATCAGAGAGGCCCCGAGTGTGGGCTGGGGAGGGAGGGAAGTCATTGTGTGGAATGGGTGTAAGCTGTGTGTTGTGATCCATGGGCCACAGCTGGGAACATGGTTTCGCATGTGGAGTGGAAAATTGTGGGATTGTGTGTCCATATGTGACTGGTGACATCTGGAGGGTGTGTATGTGTGTCTGTGTCTGTGTATGGTAAAGGTACACATGGTGAATTAATTAGTTAACTAATTAGTGCCAGTCCTGGGGCCTGAATGCAGGGCTTGGGCACTGTCCCCTGAGCTTCTTTTGCTCAAGGCTAACACTTTACCACTTGAGCCACAGTGCCACTTCTGAGTAGTTTACTGGCGGTAAGTGTCTCACAGACCTTCCTGCCCAGGCTGGCTTTGAACCCTGATCCTCAGATCTTAGCCTCCTGAGTAGTTAGGATTACAGGAGTGACACCTGCAGGGTTGAATTTTTCTGGTTTTTTTTTTTTTTTGGGTCCGGTTGTGGAGCCTGAACTCTGGGCCTGGGCGCTATCCCTCAGCTCTTCAGCTCAAGGCTAGTGCTCTACCACTTGAGCCACAGCGCCACTTCCGGCTTTTTTTGTTTTGCTTATGTGGTGCTGGGGAATTGAACCCAGGGCCTCTGGCATGCAAGGCAAGCGCTCTACCACTGAGCCACCTTCCCAGCCCCTAGGGTTGAATTTTTCTTTTGGGGAAATGGGGCATTGGTGAGAGCAACTTTGTGAGGCACATGTGATTGTGATTGTATGACTGGGGGCAGCTGCTTGACTGTGATGGGGGTGAAGGGATCCTCACAAGCAGCTGTGCTGAGGGGCCTCTTTGTGACTAGGGCTGTGTGAGTCCATTCATCCACTCTGAGGGTGCCGCTGTGGCTGCGTATTTATATCTCTCTGTCTAGTGCAAGGGGGTGGGTGGAACATTAACACCCAGGGCAGCCCAATATACCCTTGTAAGGTATGCAGGAGAAAAAGCCCGGTTTTGGAGGCTGCTGGTCATTTTCTGACTTAGCGCTGAAATATTCAGGGGAGGCGGTTGGCAGCACCTCAGCAGCTGCTTGTTTGACAGCAGCTGCCAGTCAGAGGGGAGCTGGAGAGGAAGGGCCAGCCGGCCAGCCCGCTGTTTGCTGTGGGTCCTAGGCAACAGGCAGTAAGGGTGGCATTCAAAAGGGCCATTCCTTCCCCTCAAGCCTTTCTCAGGAGCTGATTGAGCAGTCCCCCAACATAGCATCCTTAACCCCTCCTTGCTTTCCCTAAGCCTCTTTTTTTCTCCTGTGCCAGTACTGGGGCTTGAACTCAGGGCCTCACATTCTTTTTTCTTTCTTTCTTTCTTTTTTTTTGTCGGTCGTGGTGCCTGAACTCTGGGCCTGGGCACTGTCCCTCAGCTCTTCAGCTCAAGTCTAGCATTCTACCAGTGAGCCACAGTGCCACTTCCAGCTTTTTTGCTTATGTGATACTGAGGAATCGAACCCAGGGCCTCCTGCATGCAAGACAAGCCTCTACCACTGAGCCACCTTCCCAGCCCAGGGCTTCACATTCTTGCTTAGCTTTTTTTGCTCAAGGCTGCTGCTTTATCACTTGAGCTAACCTCCACATATAGATTTTTGCTGCTTAATTGGAGATAAGGACTTTTTTTTTTTGGCCAGTCCTGGGACTTGAACTCAGGGCCCGGGCACTATCCCTGAGCTTCTTTTGATCATGGCTAGCATTCTATTACTTGAGCCACAGTGCCATTTTTTACTTTTTCTGTTTACTTTTTTCTGGTACTGAATTGCTGAACCCAGGGCTTCATTCATGCTAGGCAAGCACTCTACCACTAGGCCTAGATCATCCTCAGTGTATTCCTGAAGGTAGGCATGTATCCAGTTGCCCACCAAAGAAGCTCGAGGTAGGCAAATCACAGGAATTAGTTCCTTTAGCATACATTGGCACTTGGTGTGTGCTGAGGCTACATTAAAGCTAGCTGCTTTATTTAGCTCAGGCCTTCAAGAAACTCATTTTAAGAGGAGGCCAGAACTACAGTGATGTGGTGAGGGGGAGGCCATGGGGTAGAGGCTGACTCAGGAATGGTCATTGCTGCCTGTGGACAGTATAACCTGAACCTGGAAAAATGGGAGAGGGTTTCAGAGTCAGGCACAGATGCTGCTTTGAAAGACAAGTACAGGGGCTAGGAGGGTAGCTCAGCGGTAGAGTGCTTACCTCGTATGCATGAGGCCCTAGGTTCGATTCCTCAGCACTACATAAACAGAAAAGGCCGGAAGTGGCACTGTGGCTGAAGTGGTAGAGCACTAGCCTTGAGCTGAAGAGCTGAGGGACAGCGCCCAGGCCCAGAGTTCAAGCCCCATGACCGACAAAAAAGAAAAGAACAGAACAGAAGAGAAAAGAAAAGTACAGCCACAGCTTGCCCCCTCCAGAAAGCAAAATCTGGGAAAAAGAGACAACTATGCTGGCTAGTCTCCACCTAACTTCATTTTCTTCTTTCCTTTTTTTTTGGTGCCACTTCTAGGGCTTGAACCCCAGGCCTGGGTGCTGTGCCTGAGCTCCTTTTGCTCAAGGCAGCAATCTACCATTTGAACTTCAAGTCCATTTCTGGGTTTTTGGTGGTTAGAGATAAAAGTCTCAGGCTGGAGCCCAGCACCGATGGCTCATGCCTGTAATCCTAGCTATTCATGAGGATGAGATCTGAGGATCAGCCCATGCAGGAAAGTCCGTGAGATTCTTATAGCCAATTAACCACCAGAAAACTGGAAGTAGCGCTGTTGCTCAAGTGGGAGAGTGCTCGCCTTGAGCTGAAGAGCTGAGGGTCAGTGCCCAGGCCCAGAGTTCAAGCCCCATGACTGACCAAGAAAAAAAAAAGCCTCAGACTGGGAATGTGGCTTAGTGGTACAGTACCTCTTAGCAAAATTAATAGACTTTGCTAGAGAACCACGCAGATATCCAGGTACAGAGAACAAAGAAAGGTTATTGCTGGGGAAAGGGGGCCAGCAAGACTCCTTCACAAGGTAAGTACCTGCTATTGTCTGGGGTGACCTATATAAGCTAGGAGGTTTAGGAGGGGCTAGAAGGGGCTAGGAGGCAGAGACGTGTGGGCTAGGGGCTTCATCATGGTGGACTAGGATTTATGGCTGTTATCCAAATGGTAGATAAGGGTCCTGCAGCTGCCCAGACCTGAAGGTCCCTCTAAGGGGCTCTTGTTGCCTTATATGGTGGTAGCTGCCCCAGAGAAGTGCCATCCCAAGGTAAAGGGGGCTGGAAGCTGATTATTTGCTGCCTTTACTACATAGGCCTAGAGTTGCCTAGGAAGGGAGCATGCTAAGCTGTGGAGAAGGGAAGGAATGGACTATGCTATGGGAAGGGAGCTCATTTTGCTAACAGTGCCTGCCTAGCATGCATGAAGCCCTGGGTTTGATTCCTCAATACTACATAAACAGAAAAAGCCAGAAGTGGCACTGTGGCTCAAGTGATAGAGTGCTAGCCTGGAGCAAAAGAAGCTCAGGGACAGTGCCCAGGCCCTGAGTTCAAGCTCCAGGACTGGCAAAAAAAAAAGAGTCTCATAGACTTTCCTGCCCAGGCTGGCTGGCTATGAACCATGATTCTTAGAGCTCAGACTCCTGAGTAGGATTACAGATGTGAGCCACTGGCTCCCGGCTCTAACTTCATTCTCTATGCCTCTTTGCCCTGCTCTGTCCTGGGACAGACTCACAGCATCTCACAGGTAGCTCACAGCACTCTGGCCTGCTGGCTTCAGGTGAGGGGTTTGGTCAGTAGGAGATATGCAGGAACAGAAGGAGGGGGATGGGAACTGATCTGGATATTTATTCTCCGTCCCTTTCTCCTCCCTTCCGTCCTCTGTGAATTATGGTAGTCACTGGATTCTTCTTCTAAAAGCCCCAGCTCCTGGATGGCCTGGTTCATTGGCAGGGCTCCCTCCCCGCATCCCTGAGGCCTGGGGGAGTGGCTCCATGCTTGGCTGCCCGCTTCCCGATTCCCGCTTCCCCATTCCTGCAGTCCCCGGGGAACAGTCCCTCCATGAGCCCTCTGGTGGCAAAGGTTTAGAGTGAGCCTGTTCCCTGCTGGAAACTTCTAAGGGTAAGAACTGATCTCTGGATATC